TGATGATCAATACTTGAGATATCAGTATTAATTAATTATGTTAATTAAGTGATTAAGAAGCATACATATTTACCAAAAACTAATATGGTGTATAGTCCTAGGTTCATTGAAATGTGATGGGTACTCTTTAAATTCAATGAGTGGTTTGTAGACATCAGTGCAATAGCCATAGAACAGGAAAAAATTAACTAATTATGCAGATTAGGTAATTAATAGGCACAATTATTTATCCCAAAATTAATCAGGTTTCTGCATAGTCCTAGAAAATGTCGCAAGTCTCATTGAAATGTGATGATAAGTACTTGAGATATCAGGTGAAAAGCTGAAAATTAACTAATTATGCTAATAAGGTGATTAATATGCACAAATATTTACCCAAAAACTAATTAGGTCTCTGCACAGTCCTCAAGTAACTATGTACCAAGTTTCATTGAAATGTGATCATTACTACGCGAAATATCAAAAGCTGAAAATTAATTAATTATGCAAATTAGGTAATTAATATGTACTGATATTACCCTAAACACTACCAGATCTGTGCAGTGTCATATGACATCTATGTACCAAGTTTTATTGAAATGTTATGATTAGTACTTGAGATATCAGTGGAAAAGCCGAAAATTGATTAATCATTATGTAAATTAGGTAATTAATAATATTAACAGATTTTTACCCAAAACTAATCAAATCTGCGCATTAGTTCAGAGCATCCATGTGCCAAGTTTCATTGAAATCCAATGAGTGGTTCTTCAAATATCAGTGGAACAGTCAAGGAACAGCTTGAAATCAGTTAATTATCATTCAAATTAGATAATTAATATTCATAGATTTTTACCCAAAACTAATCAAATCTGCGCACTAGTTCAGAGCATCCATGTGCCAAGTTTCATCAAAATCCAATGAGTGGTTCTTCAGATATCAGTGGAACAGTCTTGGAACAGCTAAAAATCAGCTAATTATCATGCAAATTAGGTAATTAATATTCATAGATTTTTACCAAAACCTAATCAACTCTGCGCATATCCCAGAGCATTTATGTACCAAGTTTCACCAAAATTTGATTAGTGGTTCTTGAGATAACTGTGGAACAAAAAAGTGACATACATACATACATACATACATACAGACATACAGACATACAGGGTCAAAAACTGTGACCTAAAAGAAGATTTAGAACACTTGCTGTGGGAATGTGAAGAAAGCCAGAAATTCTGGCAAAAATTTAAAATATTTTGGATAAATATATGTGCCGAAAATATCAATATTTGTCAAAAAGAGGTAATTTTTAATTCTGGTGGTAAAAGTAATTTTCATGCCCTGTGGAAGCACTTAATTTTACTTGGGAAATACGAATTATATATTGCGAGGTTCAATAATTCTAAACCAAACTTAAACTTATTCATTGAAAGAGTAAAACAAACCTTTAACCTAGAAAAAGCGATCGCAGAACAATATAACAAACACGAAATATTTGTTAACAAATGGGAAAATATAATGAAATACCTAGAAAAATAAAAATACTGTAAAAATACATATAACATGAGCGACTTTGACCTTGTTTTTTTTGTGTTTTTGTATTTGTATTATGATCAACTCTTTTTGTTCATTTTTTTTGTATTTGTATTTAAAAAAAAGTATCTGTATTCTGTTAGTTAACTATTATGCCAATAATTAAAATCTGTGCATTGTATTTATTACATCACACTTCAATATATATACGATTAATTAAAATCTGTGCATTGTATTTATTACATCACACTTCAATATACGATTAAAAAAAAAAAATATTATCTTGATAATATTTAATACTCTGTATTAATGTAAGCACCAACAATTAACCACACTGTTACAGTCAACAAATTGTTTTCAAATCGATAAACTGCAAATTCCTTCTTTTTGAGGATTTTAAATCTGTTTTTTTAGACAAACAGTTTTATTTGTTAATATCTTGTTTCATCTTCAGCCATTTTAATGATCATAAGATCATGAATAGGTAGGGCTGACACCAAACAGGTGTTGCTATTGACAACCATACATGGTGTCACAAACTCAAACAAATACTTCACTTTTACTTTGTTGCCCATAACAACCAACATTTCACCTTTATATAGCATGTCAATAGCAGTCATGTTTTGTTCACTATCACCAATAATATTAGTTTGATATAATACATAATATGTCTCACATACATACTATATTATGTGCTTACACAAGGACACCACAAAGTATAAATAAATTGAGTACAGTGAAAGTATGAACCAATGCATAGCTGAGGTCAAAGCACCATATATGCCATATCTATGTAATAACATTATCAGCTAGTATACATCTTTCTGATCCAACCATTTAATGGTGTTTGAAACTCAAAACTTAGCAAGATAGTCAAAATCACTGAAACTGTCTTGATATCATGAAACATTGTTTCAAACATGTCTATTATCTTGGAAATACCATGTCCCATATTAAGAATTTGCATTATTTTTGTAATATGCTAGGATGCAGATACCCCATGAAGTAACACAAAATTACAACACGCAATAACTTACAAAGATATAGGGATATGTGTTTATAGTAATTAGTATGTACATTTATTAATTTTACAAAATACAATCTTAACCAATTAAGATTAATTAATAGAGGTAAAACTGTTATTGTAATATACAGTCAGAAATAGTTAATTTTCTATATTCAATCCCAGGTATATTCATTACACATTTAGGCTGGTGATTGGACATTAACTTGAGAAGAAAACATCATGCCAAAAAGTATAAGAATACAACTTATTTTAATTCACAAACTAATAAATGGAATAAAGTAATTAATAGGTTGTGATGTAGAGTGAGTTAAAACAAACAAAGTATTTTACACTTGTTGTAAACATTGCTATTTTTGAAACAAATTTAAAACAATATTAGACAAAAATAGCCCGAAGGAGAAGGGTCCATAGGCAGGCAAACATACCACAGACACTCATGGGAGAAAGAGCCCCAGACCAATCATACATACCCAGACCAATCATACATACCCAGACCAATCATACATACCCAGTCCCAGGCATACATACCATGTTCTGTGTTTGTGGATCATAATCTTGGTGCCATGGCGACTGTGAATCTAGTCTTTGTCTTTGTATCATCTGTTCCGCTTGTGCTCTCTCTGCTTCAACTGCCGGATCTTCTGTAGTTTTTTTGGATTTCTTGCTTTTCCCTGTCTGACTAGGTGGTGGCTCTTGGAAATAAATCTGTATGATAGATTACACTGTATGCATGAGAACTCTAATCCAGTGCTACGTCCACAAAGTTATGATGAGTGTGTAAATGCATGCACAGTATTAAGCAACAGCTACTAGAAATGTGACCATCAATAAAAATGTTGTTCCTGTGCTTTCAACCTAAAATAGCAAGGCAAGAAAATTACGTGGTAATTTTTTATCATAGCACTCAAGTGATAAATTGTTCAAAAATCACCATTTTCATGCATATTGGACCAGTGTTTTGTGTGAAAAGTTAAAGAAATCTGATCATCTATTTCAGTTGTAGTCAACTATTTAAGCTAACAATTGTACTGGTAATCTGTAAAACAAGTGAATTCATATATTCAATAAATCACTCATTGTCACAGCATAATTCCCAACAATACTCATTGGCATCTCCATGGCTACCCACTATCTTGTGTACAATGATATGTATTTGAATAAATATGTATAATATTAACTTTATTAAACCAGTATTCTATATAAGGAAACAAATATCACTTTTTAACACAATTTACCATGAATTCAGAGAGTCGGTCACAGAAGGCAAGTTTCATTTTATTTTTTTTATAGTACAAAGCATATAAAATTGATGTTAATTTTCAATATTTTATTATACAATAATATCATTTTTGATATCATATCACTTTCGTCTGCTGAGCAGACAGCGAAATAAAAGTTAGGATCTACAAATATTCTCAAAATGTCCTCTATCAAACAGTTACAGGAAGTTGTAATATTTAATTTTAATATTGGATTGACTATAAGTTTTAGAATGTGAAAAATAGTAAAGCATTTAATAAGCACTGCTAGGATGATTTCATGGTACACTCAAATACAACATTTCAGTGACATTCCATGTCATAGAAATATGAAGAAATTTTCCTCACTGCAAAATTTCAAAATTGATCTCACACAAAATTAAGCGATTTACTGTATTGTGATAGTAATTCTGAAGACAAAATTAAGCGATTTACTGTATTGTGATAGTAATTCTGAAGACAAAATTAAGCGACTTACTGTATTGTCCACCAAAAACAACATGTACATCATTAATTATAATTATTTTAGAGGTCAGTGAAACCAAAGTTTAACATATTGACTGCAACACAAATTAATGCTAAGGCTGCATATGAACTATTTTCAGACTCACATGGTCATCTGCCTGTAAAATTATTAATTCCTAATATTCAAAATGCTGCACTTATGGCCAGTTTACTTAATGATATCTTTTTTTTCTCTATTTCCTGCATATAACTACAGAAAATGAATAGCTGTTTGAAACAATTGCAGCATTTTTAGATGATTTATTCAACCATATAACCATGGTAACCAGGGGAAAGGTTGTAAAAGATTACAAGTACAGTAACAGTTCACTCTTTGAGAACCTGAATGGAAGTGATGAATACAGTAACCCTGAGCGATTAACCCCAACACAAACATCATGTATTGCCATGGGAATACCGGGTGTGTTGTTGGCTCTTCTGTCGGGAACAGCCCTCTCAATTGCTTCTTTGTTTATCCATTTGGCTGATCAAGGTGGTGTGCCAGAAACAGAAATCTTATTTCTTGAAAACATTGCACTACTAATAGAAAGTATACCAGGCATTGTCTGTTTCAAATACAGCATATTTGCAAAAGATGTCAAAGACACATTTCTAATGATAACTGCTGGTATTGGTCGTGCTGTGGCAGACTGTGTATGGTTTGTATCACTGTCATACATGCCCCTGGGAAGCAGTACCGCCATAAACCTTGGACTTGCACCAATTTTTACAGGAATTTTAGCAGCCATTGTGCTCAAGGAAAGGTGGGGTGCATTTGAAGTGATTGTTGCACATGTCAACATTGCAGCATTTTTACTTTTAAAACGACCAAAGGTGTTATTTGGAGACATGTCTTCAGAGAGTGAAATGGATTACCCACAATCCTATGGATTTTTATTTCTTGGGGCAGTGATGTCATGTTTTGCTTCAGCAATCCAATCAGCCGTTACAGTTACCATACGTTATCTTGATGATCGTGTTAATATATTTGCTGTAGTGTTCTACCAGGCATTCTTTGCAATGATCGTCTCCCCCATTGTGATGTCAATGATGGACGTACCTATATGGGATTTAGACGTACTAACTGCAGGATCACTGGCTGGCTCTGTTATCGCTTGGACAATGGCAATGTGGACATTCTACTATGCTTTGCAAATAGAGAAAGCTGCAACTGTAGCTTTCCTCCGAAATATCACAGTTTTGATAACATTAATATTACAATGCATATCATGGAAGATGAAGCCAACAGTTTTAGACTATTTAGGAGGATCACATGTATTAACAGGGACTGTAGTTGTAGCAACATCAGCATGTTATAGACGTAGTCAGAATTACATTTAGAATTGTGGTCATTCAATTAACCAGTACATTCAATGGGTATACATTCATAAATTGTATTTTTGTTTAAACACTATGTGAGTAACATAGCTGCAGGCCACAGTATGTGCAATATGTAACTTTGATTAACTGATACATTTATTTATTTATTTATTTATCGATGAATTAATTTATTTCTTATTATGCATCCACAGAAATTGTATTCAGATGAACACAGCTGCACTTCTCACTGATTTCTTATCTTCAAAGTCTAACTGGACTATCAGGAGGCATAATGGTATAAATGGCTATGGACTTGTCATTTGTCAGGCCACTTTACTCCCCACCCAGGAAAGGCACCTGGGTATGTAGGGTAGTAATTGTTATATGTGTGTGCATGTGATATGACTTGAATGTCAGAGGCTGTAGGCTATCCTGATAGTTGTTAAGATGGTATACAGATTGATGCATATTGACCAGTGACCAAGAGTAAATATAAAGGGCAATGAGCAGTATTATTATAATTCGCCAAAAAGTATAGGATATATATTAGGGGCCTGTTTTTTTCTGTAATTATCTTTCGTCAAGTTGATTGAGAAAACCGCTGAATGGAATAGCCTGAAAGTCTCCACACTTATAGTCCATATTGTGAACTGGTGCATAAGACTTTTAGAATTTTGATTGGTCAATTAGTTCGGCAGCCATATTGGACTGAATTTAAACCAGAAGTGGCTATTTGACCACTTTCTGAGGGTCTAGGTGATTTGATTTTGTTATGGCATATAGTAATAATTTTTAATAATTTTTTATTAACACTTACACATTCCCCAGAAGGATTGGCAATGGTTGCAAAAGTTTAAGAAGGAATAAAAAGTTACAAAAAAGTAAATAGATAAAATAAAACAAACTAAGCTAATACATTGGAGAGAATAACAAGTATAAAACTATGATACAACTCATGTGTTCTATGTGATGTGTAGATATCAGCAATAAAAGTATAAAACTATGATACAACTCATGTGTTCTATGTGATGTGCAGATATCAGCAATAAAAGTATAAAACTATGATACAACTCATGTGTTCTATGTGATGTGTAGATATCAGCAATAAAAGTCTAACGTAGATGTCAATTTTTTCTGCCATGTTTTTTCTCCATAAAACGACAAAAAACACTTGAAAATCTTCTTCTTCAGAACCACCAAGCAAAATGCTCCCATATATAGTATTTAGCTTCTATATATGAAGCACATTTAAGTTTAAAAAATGGTTATGATTGGTCACATGGTTTGGCCGCCATTTTGGAACAGGTAGTAGTTTTTTTACTTAAGCCACAATTACCGTATGTGATTATCTTCGAATTTGCGACATTATAGCTCTATAGTTTACTCTTTCAGATATTGAAAAAATAATTCGAATTAGTCATGTGGTTTGGCCACTATCTTGGATTTTAGGTAAAAATGACCAATTGTTCAAGCATTTGTTTCTCAGAGATATCAACTAGATATGTTGTATATAAAATGTTTGACTATAGCTTCATATAAGAAAAAAAAAAAATTGAGTCACATGGTTTGGCCACCATCTTGGATTTTGTTAAAAACAGAAATTGTGCAATTACATGTGTAATATTGGTCCGATCGGGCTCAAATTTTGTTTGTGCAAATAGCACATGGCTAGGTCATGTGGCTGTATGCCCATGGGGTTGGGGCTTCCAACCAAATTAATATGCATAACTGCTATATCTCAAGCACTGCTGTAGTTAGGAAGATGAAACCTGCGTTATTATGATGATGTTAAACAAGAGATTTGACTAAAGTAACAGATGACCATATATGGTCATATGAACTCATTAATATGCATAGCAGTCATATCTGAAACACTGTTGCAGAATGGGACATGCAACCAGGGCCATAATAAAGGCATCAAACAAAACATGTACATGATATAAGAAATCATTATTAATATGTATAATCACATGGCTCATTATATATTCTGAAATCAATATCTCGATAACCAAACCAATACATGGAAGCAACTGCATTTTGATCTCATGGTACTGATCATTTCAACTACCCCAATGGCAATCAGGCGACCTTATTAATTATGGTCTAGATGTGTAACAGCTTAAGCCCTGCTGACACCGCTTGCGGCTTTAATTTATATTTTATATTTATGTATTTCCTTGATGACCAAAATCACATGTTAATGAGCTGGATTAAATAAAGATGTTATCATTTACCATACTCAGAGTCAAAAAGATACAAAAAGAATTAAATTCTGTTGATTATAATGTTAATTAAAATGAGTGTTTACTTTAATTTCAGTGTAACATAATTAGTAGTAAATAAATTGAAATGCTTGTCTCATTAGATTTAATTACTAAAGGGTTTAAACAACACCTTAAATCACAATCAGCTAGTGTACATATTTACTGTATACTATTTGAAACTAAACAACACCTTAAATCACAGTCAGCTAGTGTACATATTTACTGTATACTATTTGAAACTAAACAAGCCAGTAGGCTGATTGGCGATCTGCTCCACTGAATAAAAAAAAATCATTTTTTGGGTATTGCCAGGATAATGATAGGACAGACTCACAAAATAGTACCGTAACTTCAAGCACATACAGAATGAGATATGTCCAAAATTTGTTTGAGGATACATTTTGAGCGAAAATACAACCAAAAAATTCAAGTTTTCGGCCAGTGTCATGGCAAAAATAGGACAAAACCTTTTTTTTTTTCAAATATGTACAGGTGTACAGGTGACCTGTCGGTTTGACAAATTTTGGCCTGGCCCCCTTTTGGATAGCCAATCAGCTTGTTTTATTATCACTTGTACGCCAGCTGACTGTGTCTTAAATATAATACTATTTTGCAACCTGTCACCTCGTAAAAGTACAAAAAATCTTGACTCACCTTGGGAGCCACGTTAGAAGTTGGAATGTACGTTTTTTCAGATAAATCTAATCTGTATTTCTTGTTAGGTTCAAACCAACCAAAATGACTCAGATTACGCCTACATAAAAAATAGCAAAATATTACACATAAATACACTACAGTCTTAAATCACAGTCGTCTTAAAAACAAGACAATAATACAAATATAAAATCTCTCATGAATCCCAAATGAAATAGCACAAATTATAGAAACGTATGATTTGTATAATCTAAAAACAAGAAATATTCTCCAATGTAAGTGTACACAGATTACACAAAAACAATGATCCAAGAATTTAAATTTTTTTCTCTACCACTACAACAACTACCGGTACTCATTTTTCATAAAATTCTGCCAGAAAAAAAAAGTTTTCTAGCAGTCTCAGCAAAAACCTGAAAATGAAAAAAAAATTGGCAATAAAATTCTAGCTAGAAAATACTGATACTGAATTAGTTCTTACTTGTGATATCTCCAGGTAAAGATGTAACCCTTATTATCAACTGTGATCATCTGACCATTGTTATTAATGAACCCTATGTAAATTAGTTGACCTTTGTGACCTCTGAACAACTCAGCTGAGATATCTTGACCAATCAGATTTGGTGTCTCACTTGGAATCTGAAATAGAATTATTAAGCATTGATGAATGTATAGCAATCAATCATAGTCAGGTTTAATATTAGACACAAAATTATACTTACAGTGTCATGAATCACTTTATGCGTACTGATGGAGTCTTTTAAAGTTTCCATGTCACATCTCAACACATCACCATTCTGCAGACCAACTATAATGTGTCTCTGTGAAGTAAAAATAGAGTAAGTTGTAGTTAGTCTGTGACAGACTCTATTATGAGTCAAAATAGTTGACTTTTAGCTTACATACTAGCAGTGCACATATGAACAGATATAAACAGAACTGAGGTCATAATGGAGGTAGGTAACAATTGACAGAATTCAAAGAGTGCGCTGTGTCAATGTTCCCATTCCAGTACACACACTGAGATATCAATCATGGCCACATTACCTGTGTTCCCAGTAGAGTCAGAGCAGGATGAAAACTGGAAATTAACGGCCCATATACTGCTTTCTGAGATCCACTTTCTGCAAGAGGACCTATAATGAGTCAGAAAAGAAAGTTTACAATACTAAACTTGTCATATACATTGTAATATCCATCGCTAGCGCTATGAGACACACGATGACTAAGGCATGTGATAATCTCTCATTTTCATCCAGAAAACATTGAACAAGCAGCCTGTCGGCTGAGATAGCTCCGCTGTTAGCAATGCACATTGCAATTAAGGAACTGAAGATATCATTAGAAAAAGAACAATATGTATAGTATCAAATCAATCAAACTTGCTGTTTTTAACAAGAATCGAAAAATATCACTTCTCACAAAAATTGACAAAAATATTCATCAAAATTAGATAATTAAAGATATCATCATGAAATGAACAAATCTGAGAGAGGTTCACTTGTAGTACCGGTACCTATATGTATAATATCAAAGCAATTGGACTTGCGGTTTTCAACAAGAAGACAAAAATATCACTTTTTACCAAAAATTACAAAAATATTCACCAAAATTAGAGAATAATTAAAGATATCATCACAAAATAAATAAATCTGAGAGAGGTCCACATGTAGTACCTATATATGTAATATCAAAACAATTGGACTTGCGGTTTTCAGCAAGAAGACAAAAATATCACTTTTTACCAAAAATGACAAAAATATTCATCAAAATTAGAGATTTGAAGATATCATCACGAAATGAACAAATCTAAGAGAGATCTACCCAATGTACATATACACCAAGTATCAAAGCATTCAGGCTTGTTGTTTTCAAGAACATTGACACGGACGACATCGGATAATCACTCATATGATAATATAAGCTCCGCTCGACAAAGTCGACAGCGGAGCTAAAAAAACAATTTGAACAGTGAGATAACGCAGTGCTCTGTCTTTTCAACTTACCCCTCTGAAAGTTGAAGTCATAATTCTGGGCATCCATCACACTTGATTGTGTTAACTGTGTCGGTAATACACCATCGTTCTCTGTACGTATCTCCAATTCTTTCATATTACGCTGTGATATGCCAGCAGCTATCATATTCCAT